ATGACGAAAAAAGGACGACGAAAAACGAACGGCGAAAGATGAACGATGAATTACAAATGCGACCGAAAGCCAAACAACAAACGATGAACGACCAAAGACGAACGACGTGTGACAAAAGAAGAAAGACGAATTCAAAAAGGCGAAATACGAAAGATGAATGACGATAATCGAACAAGAAACTTCGACAAAAAACGAACATGGGACGATGATAGCCGAAAAACAAACGACAAAAGACGAACGAAGAATAACAAACCACGAACGACTGACAATGACAACAAATGAAGATTGTCTTACGAAGAACAGCGACAACAAAAGACGATCGACGGACGACGAACTGTAAATGAAAACGACGAAAGACGAGCGACGAATGACGAACGACGCATATCGAAAGACGCAAGATAAAAGACTGAAGTGGATCTAAGAACCACAAAAAACGAACGACCAAAGAAAAATGGCGAATAACAAACGACGGAAGGCAAAATATAAGCGATGTACGACGAATGGAAGAAGACGTAAGACCAAAGACAGTATACGCACGAAGGGTGACAAAAGACAAAAACAATTAAAAAAAGATTAATGACGAAGAACAACCGAAAAATAACGAATTACGAATTACTAACAACGAAAGACGATTGACGAACGTCTATGATGAATGACGAAAGTAGAACGACGAACAACGAACGGCTAACAACGAACGACGAAAGCCGATACACGGAAGATGGAACGTAAATGCCGAACGACGAACGGTGCACGCCGAAAGTCGGAAGACAACATACGAAAGGCTGACAACGAAACATAAAAGACAAAAAAAGAAAGACGAAAAAGGAAGACGAAAGACAAAAAACGAAAAACGAAAGACGAAATCCGAAAGACGATCAATGAAAGACGAGCGAAGAGCAGCAAAAAAAACGGGAATGACGTACGACGAAAATGGAGCCACTAATGATGTACGACGAAACACGTGCGACGATTGACAGTAAACGAGAGACAAATAACGAAATCAAACGGCGAACGACTTAACACAAAAGACGAAAAACGCTATACGAACGGCCAAAGTTGAAAGACGAACAAAGACAAACGTCCATAGAGAAAAGACTATCAAGGAACGAAAAAGTCGACAATGGAATAAAGTCAAACATCGATCGACGAACTGCAAACGATAAGCTACGATCGATGAAAGACGAACGACAAGTGTCGTACGACAAACGACGATAGACGTGCGACGAAAGTCTAAGGAAGAAAGGTGCACGTCAAACCACGCGACACGACGAATGACGAACTGCGAAAACGAATGACAAACGACGATCGACGAAGAAAGTACGACGAAGAAAGCACGGCAAGCGCCAAACGCCAAAAATTAAACGCGAAAAAACTAACTACAAAGCTGACAAAGGACGAAAGACCAAAAGCGAAAGACGAAAGAAAGGCGGCGAATGGGGAACGTCGCAAAACGCCTGAGAAAGAAGGAAAAATGAAAAAGGAGAAACGACAAGCAACCAACGACGAAAGACGACCGACAAACTGCTAATGACGAATGACGAACAATCAAAATTAAACGATGAACGGTGATCGCCGTATAACTAAAGAGGAGAGACGACAAGGAAAGAGAAATGATGAACGTCGAACGACTTACTTCGAACAACAAAAGACGAAAGACAAAAGGCGAATGGCGATAAACACTAAGTGAGAAATGACAAACGGCAAACGACGAAGGACGAACGACGAAAGACGAAAGTCGAAACTCGAACGACGAGCTATGAACAGCGAATAACGAAAAACGAAAGACGAAAAGCGAAAGATGAACGCCGAATGGTAAGCGACGAACGACGAACCACGAACGAAGGGTGACTAAAGGCGAACGACAATCGACAAGAGACGAACGATGAACGACGAAAAACGAATGCATTAATTGGTAGTGTTATTGAAAGTCTACCGTTTTGACGACCTAAATTAAATCTTACTCTAGAGTTATTTCATCTAAAACAATGTTCTATCGTTCTAGATATTTTCACCAAACTTCTATCATCTTCGTTTTGCATAATTTTGCATAATTTTAAACATCTTAGTTTTTAAATAAATGATTCAAGGAGTATCATGCATCAATGATCTTGTTAACTGGATTTGTAAAGCATCTTCTGCACAGACTAATATATTCAAATTATCTTCTTTTGATATTTTAATATGTTTAAAAATGAGTGTTCGGTCCTTTGGTTCGTCAGACTGATACGAGCCTTGGCCGAACAGCGGTGACCCGGCCTGTCGACCATGAAATAATTAGTTCGTGTGATTAGCACGAAAACATCCCCCCCCTAACCTCACAACCCCAGGGTAGGATATCTCATCGGCAGACTACATAGGAGGACATTTGTAAGCACGCTAACCAACGAGCCACCGAGGGCTCCCCTCTTCCATTTCTGGTTGGCAAAATCCACGTAAACCAACATGACAGAGTTGTGGTGCAGGCTAGTTCAAGAATAGTGTGGAGACGTGGCACGGACATGCTGCAGCACTAAGCATGCCAACAGCTGAACGTGTTTGCGAGGGCGGGGACGGGGGCGAATTTCTTAGGAACAGCGATGGCGATGGTGATGGCAGAAATTTGAGCGACGGAGAGCGCGAACGAAGGCGAGGGTACGAGGGAATGCGGTGAGGTTAGAGGAGAGCGCAGTGAGGACGGAATGGTATAGGGAAGAAAGTGCAAAGGAAGGCGAGGGGGCGTAAGCGGTGGTATGCTCGCTATCATAACCTCAGAGTGGGTGGTAGGAGGGACCTCAGGGAATGGTGGAGGTGAAGGGCGAATGCGTGAGTACGCACGGACCGGCAGTGAAGTCAAGGACTGGTAGGGGCGAGGGTCAGGATGGGGACGGGGCGACGGCGGAAACGACGAAAACTGTGGCAACAGCGAGGGTGAGGGACTGAGGACAAGGGCTGAGTGAGAATAAGTGAACGTAGGGAGAGGGAGATGGGGCGAGGGTAGTTGTTGGTTGGTTGCTACTTAGTGTTTGGTACTGTCCCCTGGCATTCGCCTGGGGTTGATGGGAGAAACCGATCAGAACAGCCTGCCACTAGAATTCTGCTCCAAACAGCTGAATTCGTTCTAGCTAACAAGCTAGTGTCGAAAATGTTCCAACTGTGGGACTCTAACCTAGGAACTCCCGGACAGAGGCACTGAAGAGACTTCAGCAGATAATTAGACGGGTAAGAGAGCGAAGATCGTGTGTGATGGAGAGGGCGAAGAGGAGCCAAGAGCGGGCAGGGGGCGGTGTCGGGATGGGGCGAAGGCAGGACGAGGACCAGGGGAGAGTGGGGCTCGGGTAGGGGCGAGTGCAAAGCAATGGAGAGGCGAGAGCTGTGGTCCGTACATAGACGGGGTGAGGGTGAGGACGATGGAAAGGGCGAGGGCCTAGGCAAGTAGGTGCCGGGGGCATGAGCGGGGCCGGGACAGGGCGAGGTTTGTACGGAGCGAAGGTGTGACGAGGGCGGTGTGGGAGCGGGGCAAGGGCGGGACGAGAGCGAAGCGAGGGCGCGGTGAGACGAGGGGCTGGGCGAGGGCGGAGGCAAGCACGTGCAGGGGCGTGAGCGGGGCGGGGAGAGGGCGAGGTGAGTGCGGAGCGAAGGCGTGACGAGGGCGGGACGAGAGCGAAGCGAGGGCGAGGTGAGACGAGGGGCGAGGTGAGGGCGGAGGCAAGCACGTGCCGGGACGCGGGTGGTGAGGAGGAGGAGGAGGCGGGGTGAAACGGGTCGCAGAGGGAGCGCGTCGCGGCCGCATGGCCTCGTAAAGCGCCCTCAATTCCATTAGGCCCTCGCCCGCGCCCTCGTCCTTTGTGCGTCGCTCGCGCCACGCTCACTTCGCCCCTTGCTGCTTCA